TTTTTTTTTTTTTTCTTTTTCAAAACGATAGATATTATATCACGGGGAAATGTCTGTACACAATACAAATGCTGCAACACATCGTTTTATTGTGTATCAAAAGACCGAAATCAATTTAAAGTTCAATTCTATTTGGTTTATTAAGTTATATATTTTTTATGTCCTTTGAGAGTTTTAAACGATATAAAATTAAATTTATGTTTTAAACAATTTGGGGCTAGTTGTCAACTTTAAAATTTTATACCATAAAGTTAAATAATGGAATATTTAGGAGGTTTAAAAAAAAATAATAATAATAAAAAAATCTTACGGCTAAAACACTTGATGCGGCAAACGAAATTTGTATATACCAAATCCATTTCAGATTTGGACATAGCAGTTTATTGCCCTTTGTCACACATCTACATTTATATATAATTGTTGCCGAACTTCATCTAATTTTATTCAACTTCAATTAATAATAATATGAGTTAATTTAATAAAGTAAGTTGCATTTAATAAAAATTTTTATGACCTCCATCCAAAACCGTTACAACATATTTTTTCTTTTAATTTTTTTCATGCAATCATCCACTTATTTTTTACTATATTTCATTATTTGAATTTGTAACCGTTGCATCCGATTACCAATTTTTTGTTTCTTTATATTTGGATAATGTAATTGTTGCATGGTTACAAGACAATGTTTACACCGTTAAATTTGAATGGTTAACATTATTTTTTTAATTTGTATATTGACTATTCACATGCAAAAGAAATATTAAGTATTGATATGCTATAGATACAACCAAAAAATATATAAGAAAAATCATCTTTTGTAATAGAGATTTTTACACAACTCATTCAAATTCAAATTTTTCATGCAAAATTGTACACTATATTAGTTGAATTTAATGAAAAATAACTATCCATTTTATCTTATATAATAAATATAGTGATGAATTTAGATACTTTTATGATGTTCATTTTTACTAACGACAATTTTTTTAAAATGTGACACTATTATTTAACTTATAATTTTACTATTATACACATACAAGTAACTTATAAGTTATATTAATTTGAATTTTTGTGCATGTGCACATAATCAAATACTAGTAAATGAGTTATATTAATTTAAACTAGCACGTAACTCGTGCAATGCACGGGATGTAAAATTTAGAAGAATAATATAACCTCACGTGCATTAGGATCGAAATTGAAATCATTAAAATACATAGGAACATTATTGAATCATAAAAAGTTCGGTAATAATCATATATTATTAAAAACCTCATTGTACACAACATTATGAGTTTGATTATTTGGTAATTCCTCATCATCATAAATTAATATTTTCAAAAGAGACAAATCCTAAAAATCAAACTAATATTTTTGGTGAACAAACTAATATTTTAGGATTGGTGAACAAACTAATATTTTAGGATTTCTAGGATTTGTCTCTTTTTGGTGAACAAACTAATATTTTAGGATTGGTTATATGAATAAGACTACCTGTTTTTGGTGTTCTTTTCATTCATTTTCATTCAAACGATCCGATGACTTGTATAATGAAATCTGAATCTTAAGCCGAAATATTTAAAAAAAGAGTTTTTAAAAATTGAAAAGTCAAGGCAATCAGTTCAGATTAATTAAAGGTCAAAGAATATCCGCTCCTTGAAATAAAGACGTATGCTATCATTAACCAAATATCCGGTTATTGATATAGAGATAAGGACGCTTCATGGAAATATCAATGGGATAAGGTCATAACAGATCGCTATACATTTTAACGATAAAAGCTCAGATGGAATGATTTATGATAATTATGTCGTAATTAATGAATTAATTAGATGTGTGAAAAGGACATAATTAATGAAAAGTGTGAAAATGACATAATTAATGAGAAGTGTGAAAAGGACAAAAACTTACCAGTTTTGGAAAATATTTAATGCAAATCCGACATTGACCATAATTTGACCTACTATTTTGGATAAATGTTAATTCTTATTATATAAGTATAGATTTTTGTGCATGTGCACATGATCAAATACTAGTAAATAAGTATATATCTAAATGCAAAATGTGATCAATCTAAATAAATCAAAAATTATTTTACTACACTTAAAGTATGTAATTCAAAATCTTAAATATTTTGGAAGACATGGGAGTTGAGGATTTTATGGACAATAATATTTGTGACAGTTTCAATAAATGAGTGTATTTTTAATATGTCAATAATGGCCGCCCACGAGCAAAAAATGTTGTTGCGGCTAATATCTCTATCACAATTTTGGAAATTTACATACATACGTAAATAATAACGTAATATTGGGGCCAAGAGTATTAAATGTAGAGACCTACAACCGCTTTATAGATTTTATTTATTTATTTATTTCACTTTCACCATCAAGATTTATCAATAAAGAGAGAAAACAATAGTATTCATTTGCCTTATTTTTTCCACAATCTCCATAACAAAATTAGAAATAAAATATATTATTGAATATTTTTTTTTAAAAAAGCAATATTTATGTAGTAAATATTTATAACTATCAATTATTATTTTATTATTTTTATATCATATCAATTTAATCATTACATTATTATTTTACTTTCACAATATCAAAATAGTGTCGNTTTCGATCATCCGTCTATTTTTTATGGACAAACTACTAAAGAAAATAGTACCTCCTTTTTTTTTTTTCTTTTCGTATTTCCAGATTATAGTCATAACTATATTTGTGGGAGATAGCAGGCAAGTAGACCAAAATATACTTTAGTAAATATTCAATTGGTATAACTAATACTTTAGTGAACATTTAGATCATCCATCCATTTTTTTTAATCTTTAGAATTGGTATAACCACAGTTCTTGGTGTTAAGAAAATACCTCAAATAAGTGAAATTTCAAATATATAATAACAACAAAAAAGAACTGTACAAGCGCGCGTTTACTCTAAAGATAATTAGAACAAAAATAAAAAAAAAAAGAGAGAAAAAACAAGAAAGTCCCCACAAATTCTTTAAATAATAAAATTTAACTAGCCTAATAGTTAGACACTCATACATTTTTTCTTACATATGTTAAAATATCATATCCTAAACAAATATAAATGAGATTATATCATTTCATAACATAATATTTATTTTATTATATTATATAGATCCGCTCGTCTAATGGCTAGACCGACAAAATCTGAAATGAAGCTATGATAATGGCATGAGGTATGCGATTATATTGAGATGATGTTTGCAGTTAGAACTTATTCACCCACGCCAATCAACTTTTATACACCAAGAAATAGTGATGTGCATCATTATATATAATGGTGGTCCATTCAAATTTTCAGACATAAACAAATTAAGTGTAATAATTTGAATAGTAAAATGTTCGCTCTAATAAGCATCATATCCACATCTGATTCTCCAACTTATTGTGGAGCATCACATCAGGGCATAAAAGCCATATGCTTCCATCCAAACTTGAAAAGATTTGTCCTAACCAAAGTTAACAGAATATTGTCCCACTTTATAATATATAAAGGTTCTCCAATCAGAACAATATTCAACCAAGTGGCAAAATTTGTAGCAAATAAATTGATATCACACCTATATATTGTTTTGTTCATTAAAGGGAAATTGTGCTAGACCTCCAAAATAGCATTTTTCACTATGTTTGGGAACCCAATAAACTAGTTTACAATTTATTTGATTAGCTCATAAGGTTTATGTATTCAAATAATTTGATTAGCTTATAAGGTTTATGTATTCAAATAAGTTTAATTTGGTAGAACAATTTTTTTATAAAAAGCTCGAACTTACCTCATAAGCTTATTTGGAACCTTTCAAATAAACTAGTTGAAATTTTTATTTCAATTAGCTCATTAGTTAATTTTACCAAATACTTTTATCATGTAAGCTAGTTTTTCAGCTATAAATCATAAGTTATAAGTTATAAGCTCGAAAATCAATTATAAAGTATAATCTAACTTATCAGCTATCTTTATCAAACATAGTCTTATACTCACATGAGTGAACAAAACCATGAAAAATGAGGAATTAGTAACATACTAGAAAAAATAGTGAGCTAGCAAGGACTTCGTTTGATAATAATCAAAGTCAAATAAGCAAGATTTCGTCAATGTCAAGTCACCTCTCTCTGGATTATGGTTGTTCAAATACTTAAGATATATATGATCCAAGAACTTCTCATATTATGTATGATCACCATAATTCAGGCAAGTTAACAAATCCAATTAGAGACTTGAAGAAACCAAAAGGGAAAAAGAAGTTCGTTTTTTTTCTCTTCATTTCTTGATATTCTCCGAAATTTTTCTTTCAAATAATAACAGTCGAACAAAGTTAAGGAGAATTTGGAATAATTAAAATATCCAGAATACATGTCCCGTAGGGAATATATAAAACATGATCGTGTGTTGTGAGTGCTTATCATTGCTTAACATAGGGAAGTTTTAAAAGATTATTCGCAATAATCTTGGATTCGCAAGATGTTGATAATAGAACAGATGGCTTTTTAACATTTATGTCCATTCTTCATATAATCATGTTTGGTGTAATACTCGAGAAGCCCTAGATCTTGTATTACAGACCGTTCATCTATAGATCCTTTTTATTCTGTTTTATTATCTAGAATAAATTACTGTAATACCACCAAAGAACTCTTCCATATATTAATATATGGTAAAGTAAGACAACAGATTTTCCCAAATTTCAAGAAAATGGTATACAACAATGTAATAGTATTCATGATTATCTCACCAGGGCATCGAACTTAGGTTTGTACTCAGGAGTGACATTGTCAACATACTGGGGAATCTTAACTTCTGCATGGATATAAATATATGCAAAGAATCAGATAATTTAGAAATCAAAGAAACTGAAAAGTAAGTTTTCAAGCTGCAACAGCGAATCAGGACTTACATCTTCCAGAGTCGATGTCTAATAATCTTACTAACCATGGCCAATGGAAGAAGTTCATATATGCAAGTGACTGACTTTACCAAAACATATAGTTACAATGATATTTGTTGAATAATTCAATTGTATGGTGAAATGGGAGTTGCAGACCAAAAACTTATTTCAGCATAGGGTCTTGAATATGATCTGAACTACCTCACTCATTATTTGCTACTTACAAATAACAAGGTTTTTCAATATGGTTGATTGTTGGTATAGTGATCTAAACAATAAAATTCCATACCTTGAATCAACACTTCCAAATAGTGTCAAACGGGCAGCCCGAATGTATTTTAAAACCGAAATTCAAAATTTTGAACGCAAAACACATGAAAGAATAACTACTTTCATTCAAACACCAAAATACACATAGAACACAATACTAAATCAACAACACCAGCATTATGAAATCTTTCACCTAGGAACTTCATAAGTTTAATTCCAAATACATTCGTTAATCAGAATACCAAGGCATTACCCAACATACACACAAATCCCAACAATTTTTGTCCTCCTAATGTAATATCTATCTACAGACAAGCTCCATTAACAACTAATGAATAAGAGATACAAAAAAAAAATAATAATAAATCAAGAACCTTTAACACAACCCTTACCGTAACATTTTCGGGCGAGCCTAACACAGTCAAGCCAGTGCAGAACCTGGGCATTGGGGTCCACCTCGACGACCACATCTGAAACAGTGATCTGAACAAAACCCCTGAATTCGGTGATTCTACCCCGTACCCTGGCCACAGCACCCACCTGAACTTGGGCGGCGAATTTCGAGGCCATTCGGGCAATAGATCGAACACCTGGCGGGCTGCGCCTGGAGAAGTAAGAGGACGTGAGCTGGTTGAGCTAGAGGACGCAGGGGATGCAGCCGGTGCCGTCGTCCACGGCGAACCGTAGGAATTTGTCGGGTTTGAGCTCGCGGGTCACGACGTACCCGACTGTTTCTGCCCGCGAGAGGGTTTTGCCGTTGATGGAGGAGGGTGATGGGTCTGTGGGTTTTGGGGTGAGCGCGAGGAAATCGGAGGCCAGGAGCTTGACGTGGGTGTTGTACAGGGCGTCCGCCATTGATATTGTTGATCGATGGGAAGAAAAAAAAAAAAAGGAATCTTGATTTGCTCTTTCTCTCGCGAAGAGGGATTTTGATTTTTTAGGGGAAAAGGTACAGTTTATGCACTAGTTATTTGGCGGGAAAATTAGACGTTCAGGCAATGAATTGAATTAATTAGCAGTAAAAATTTTCCCAAAATCCCATTTCATTTGTAGCTATTGCCAAGCTCGAGCTCCTAATATTCTTTTTTTGGAGCAATTGCCAAGTTCGAGCTCCTAGTTATTTGGCGGGAAAATTAGATGTACAGACAATGAATTGAATTACTTCTCACTAAAAAAATGTTATCCCAAAATACCATTTGATTTGGAGCTATTGCAATGGCTGAAATTAAACTCAAATTCCTAATATTCAAATATAAGTTCAAGCCTTTATGGAACTCGGCTCAACTATTAGCAATGACGAAAATTAGAGTTGCAAACAAATCGAATCGAATTTGAACTCGAGCTATTATCAAGCCAAACCACACTATAGCTGGAATATAACAGCGTGGGAGTTTCTTTTTTTATATAATGAATAATTTAGGTGTCTAATTATAGCTAATGGAATATTCCTGATATATTCATGATATGAAGAACTATGTGAACAATTTAAAATTGAAGTTTAAATGCGACTAAAAGCGTCAAAAATTTATTTGATCAATATACAGATTTAAAAACCTTCATAAAGCAGCAGCAGACATTTTACAAGACTGGTAATAACATAGGGAAATCACCAAATCCAGGATCAATTACAGAAATAATGTCGTAAAAGCATATATCGAAAACAATTAATAAGTTCACAATAAAGTACATTGTGGATGAGCTTTGCCTTTTAGTCCCCCCATAATAACACTGCACGAATGGAAAGTATCGATAATGTTACAAATTTTTTTGCATATATGATTTCCCCAGATTCCTGCACAGGAAAAAAAAGAGAAAACATGTTTCTAATTCTTGTGAATATTGATTTTCTCACAATTAACATTTGGAAAACTAAGAATCATATGTCATATAGACTGACGTTCGATATTATTCATTGAAGTCTTACCTTGGTGCAGGATAGATAGTTTTGTCTTTAATCATAAGATAAAAGATAAACTAACCAATCATTGTGCGCTTCCTTCCTCGTTGTCGAACTAAAATATGCCAACAAAAAAAAAAAGATAGAATGACAAAAGAATGAATAATTAGCGCATCTAAGCCCCCGAGTGCATTGTTTCTTTTTTTTTTAACAAATACGAAAAAAAAGGGTACCTTGTGCTAGCTTATTCAAAGTTGAGGACCATTGTTTTGATGATTTTCTATAAGCTTTAAGAATTCTCTCCATCTACAGCAGTTAACAAAACATAACAACATAAGACTTATGTCAATGATACTTCTCACGAAAATATAAAACCAAAGAAAATATTTCAATGATCAACGAGGGGAGTTATTGACATGTGGTGACTCACTCACCACATTCCCACATGAAGAGTGCATAGATAGCAATGCTCGTTCGAGAACATATAGATCGACAGCTTTATCTTCCGGAAGGGTCGACGTGAAGCTCAGACCAAAATCAATCAGCACCTTTTGAAAAGACAAATAACATAGCCATTGTTGTAAATTGTAATTCACCAACAAAACAATTACAGATTAGAAAATCGACCAAAGATTAACAGATTCCAAGCAAACGTAAAAGCCGATAACTTACCAGCTGATTGGTACCATTGCGGATTAACATATTCGAGGTAGTCAAATCACCATGGATTAGGCCACCATCGTGCATTTTGGCAATAGCATCACCAATTTGAGTAGCAATATCGTTTAAACTCTCCTCCACAATGCCTGTTGACCCGAAATCGAGCAAAACATCTTTCACGGCGGGACCCTCGACGAACTCGAACGTCAAGGCATGCACCAAAGGGTCGACAGCATAGAGCACTGGAGTCGAGACCCCGAGCTTTCTAGCTTTTTGTCATGCACCTAGCTTCCTGATCCAGTATTTTTTTTTTTTTTTGAATAAATAAATAAATGTCAATTGGGAAGAAGAAAAAAATTCATGCCGTGTTAAGAAATATCACTAACCGCATTCAGGCGCTTGAGAGTGAGTTTCAAGTCCAGTGATGGGTGCCTGTACTTTTTCGAAAAACGCTCCTTGATGACACACCTCCGACCGACAAAAGTTGACTCGAACAATCTCTGAGGAACAAAAACGAACAATTATAAGATTGTTCATTGCTAATAATGCTTTTACAATATTACAGGTCGTGGAAAGGACAATGCAACTTACAGCTTCAGCTCCTTGCTTAATCAAAACCATGAAACCTTCTGCACCATCCAACTTGATATCCATTGTAAATGAGTTGAGTACCAAAGTAGAGATATACACTACAACAACAACAACATAGCCTTTTAGGGTTCTTGAAATAAATGGCTTCCGAATAAATAGCTTACAATTGGCAAGGACCACAAAAAGTTTAAGGTTCTTGAAAAACGTAAACATCCACAAGAAACTTCCAAAACATAAAACAGGACTAATTTCAATGGGAGTTTGGTTTTCTTGCAAGTCCCAACAATAAATCACATCCGAGACTATGATTGGCCAATGGGGCGGCATGGGTTGAGTCTGAAACACGAACCCACACCCACCTCCTCAAGTTCTAGACCCGTAATCCAAGCGGGTTAAAACCCGCCAAAATGTGAACTTTTAGCATTTCAACTAGTAGTGTTTATGAGAAATACAAAGATGCCTACATAAGCAGGTAAAAATACACAAGAATTAACCAAAATGAAATGGCGAAGCCGGTTGATGTGGTAATACCAAATGAGCAATATCAATATGTAACTAATGGGATTGTTCCAAAAAGAAAAAACAAAAGCTTTGGATTTGGGGACTAGTTACCGTGGGACTTTTAAAAAAGGAAAATAAAATCCAGTAATACAAAGAGCACCACTAGAACTATGAAGTGAATCTTTAGAGTTAGGTCGAGCATTTCAAAATAAAAGAGAGCTGGGTTACCACAGACGAGCCTACTATTTAACAGTTATAAACAATGAGAAAAGCAAAAACCAAAAAGGGAAAAAATCAAGAGAGTGAGAGAAAGCAGGCAGCTTACCGTTTTCAGAGGTGCGTGTTTTCTAGAGCGAGCGATGGGATACAGTTATCTTGATGAATATAAAAAGGCAAAAAAAAATGATGTAAGCTTTGGGGCTTTCAGAAATTAGGGTTTTAACCGTTTATCAAATCAGAAAACCTTTTTTTCTTCAGTTACTTTTCTTTTATTCTTAGCCATCAAATTCGATTACAATCGAATCAAACAGTAGACATGTGTCTTTGAAATGGCAGCCCGGCCCAACCCCGCCGAGGGTCGCGGGCTAGGCGACCCTCAGATGAAGTTCATATATGCAAGTGACTGACTTTACCAAAACATATAGTTACAATGATATTTGTTGAATAATTCAATTGTATGTAAAAATCAATATAAATTAAAAACTGATAATCTCAATTATTCCAAACATGATGCTACCATGTTACGTAATTTCACCATGACATGTGACAATTAGGAGATGCTCTTAAATTTGGACAGTGTAAACAGTAACATAGTCTACCCCAAAAAAAAAAAAAGAACTATTTGAGTAGGAGGAAGATACCGGTGCGTACTCAATTCATCCTTGGAATTCGAATATAACTTCGGTTTTGCCAATGTTAGCACAAGTTTACAGAACAAAAACACATCTGGCATTGTTACACTCAAGGCCACCATATTCTAGTAAATATAATAAAATTTGAAAACTTCATCAAATAACAGATATCGACAAGCTACTGTTGCAGTTGCCTGCTTCTGCACCAAAGAAGGTTTGTGTAGTTATTAAATAATATAATCTTCAGGCAAGAGACAAAGTCCAACTACAGAAGTCACTTCCCAAAATTTACAAGGAAATATATGAATGAAATTGTTTTAAGGCAGGCAACAGTATCCGTTGTAGGAATATAAAGCAACACCTAGCACATACCGTCATATAGCGCTTGTACATATCAACTAAACGAGAGCCAATCCCTTTTCTGTAATAATCCCAGTCTATGGGTTCTGGTTCCTGCAAACTTAAAACAAAAGGAATATAAAAACTTTTGTCATTTAAGTTTTCCAGTCCATGCATATAAATAGTCCTAACTTACATGCCAATGGAACAGTTAAGACTGGAATGTTCACCAATAAGGCAAAGCGTAGAGGACACATACATTAGACATAATAAGCATGAACACAACAATTCACAATAACAACATACAAAACCTTTGAAAAGAGCTGTACCTTAGACTTACTATGTCAATGTAATAAGCAAAAATTTGGAAAAACAAATGTTGATGGACCGAGAGGTATAGCGTATTAAGGGATCACTGGAGCCCATACAATTGCGCTTCTCAGTTTCCTTAGATTATGGAATGTACCAAATACATTGAACAATGTGATGTCGTACAACACTATGTTTCACACATCATCTCTTCATATTATACCTTTTGAAATCTTCAAAGAACTATACTATAACTTAAAAGTTAGAAATACCATTACTCTATCTATGTTCACATTTATCTTGGTAATTTGCTGGTTATTTACATCAATATGGTCTCAACCACACGTTTTTCGTAAATAACTTCCCCAACCAGTCATAGTTTGTACACATGAAAAAAAAAAGACATTTGTATCACTTAAAACACCTCACACTGTGACAAAGCAGGTAAATGCATATCATCACATACCAATGAACATTAAACCAAACTAAAGCAGCATTAAGTAGCAATACTAACTTATTACTACTGCTTTAGTTTGGTTTAAACCAAATAGAACTATGACGACACATTGGTTTTTTATCGTCCCAAGAAGTTAGTGTTGCTAGATTTAGTTTGGTTTAGCTAATTGGTGGGGATGTGCTGATATGCATTTAGCTGCTTTGCCTTTCAAGAGAAAAACTAGAATATAATACATGACTCCTTGCTAATATTTGGGAAAGTTCTTTGTGGACAACGAAATTTTGTGAGGGTAGGACACGGTGTGGTGTGTTTAAAGTGATACAAATGTCTTTTTTTTTTTTTATGTGTATAAACTAGGACTGATTGGAAACAAAACTCAACTGTTACGAAAAACTTGTGGCTGATGTAAATAACCAGCTTGTGCAAGCCTAAGAAATTAAATGTGAGCATAGAGTAACGGTCTATTTCAAATAGTAATGTTTTTTTTCCATATTTCAAAATGTATAAAATAAAAAGATGTCGTGTGAAACATCACCAAAAATGCTATGAAGTATTGTAAAACGTCACATTGTTCGTTGTGTTTGGTACATTCCATAGTCTAAGGAACTGAGAAGCAGTTTTCTTCAATTATATGGGCTCCAAGGATCCCTTAATACCGCTCAGTTCATCAACATTTGTTTTTTCAAATGCTTATTACATTGACATAGTAAGTCCAAGATACAACTCTTTTCAAGGGTTTTGTATGTTGTCGGAAGATAGTATTCAATTTTCACCTAGTTCACATGAGTGATTGTCTAGCACTTGGGAATGGGTAAGCTAATCGAGGAAATATAAGAAAATGTAATGCGTGAGCCGAAGAAATAGAAAACAAGAGCTTATTCCTCACTTTGACAAGAAATGTGAAACGAATCCTCAACTCAGAAACAAGAAAAGAGAACAGTAGAGATGAGCAAGAGTAGCCCATCAACAAAATGCTTATAAAATACCACTTTGGAACCACAATCATATTCTCTTCCTAATTCAGTTTTCAACTTCAGAGAAATATCACCAACTCACAACCTAAACGATTGTTAACATCCAATTCAAGTTTTTCCCTCTTCTAATTCAATTCTTGTCACAATTTCCAAATTAACAATTCAGTATATTTCCAAACTTCGCAAAACTTATATGTAACCTGTAGCTTGCATCGAAGAATGTAAGACTAGGGTGGAATGTACTCAGTCCCGACTCCACATCATTTTCACATTGACTTACTATTAAAGCTAGATGAGGTAACCGAATCAAGAAACAAAACAAATGAAGTTTCACTAAAATTCTCTACTGGATCTTACAGAGCTCAAACTATCATCTCGATTACACACAATAAACTTCAACGAAAAACAACCCATAACCAAAATAATCCCCTCGATATACTTGTCATCTCTATACAGATCCAAACTCAATAAAATTCAAATTCCATAAAAAGAAACAAATCGATCAGATAACCAAATTACATCAAAACCTCCCCTCCCTCACCCTCACCACCATCCACCAGAAACCAAATGCTAAATTCAATAGATCTGTGCACCCGGCAGCCCACATATAACAAAAATAGAACCACAGACAGACGCAAATGAGTGCGAAAAGCAAGAAGCAAATGAACCATTCATTTAGAAATTACAGAAAAAAAAAGGTACGGAGAATAGGAGGCGTAGAGCAACGGACCTGGCTAAACTTGGTCTGAAGCTGAGAGTTGACCTCGTCGAAGGCGCGGCGGAGGGTTGACCTGGCTAAACGTGGCTTTGTTTTTTATGCTTTTTTTTTTTGTATTTTTTTAACCAATCTAAATGTTTGCACCAATATCGATTAAGTTGGAACTTCAAGTATCAAAAGTGAACTTGCACTGAAATAATCTCAGCCGTCAAGCCCACGACTTCAAGGCTTGAGATTTTAATGGAAGGAAGGGGAGATTTTAATGGAAGGAAGGGGAGGTGATGTAAAATAATTTTATCTTGTTTGGAGGGATTTGGAGGGATTTTGTAGGAGGGGAGCATCCGAAGACGCATCAGTAGACGCAGAAAGACATCCCGGAGGGAAAATGGTAAACTTTGTTTGATTAGAATAATGGAGGGGAAAGAAAATATTGTAGAAATGACAATTATATCCTTAATGATGTAAGAAACAAAATAATAAAATAATTTATACATAAAGGATAATATAGTCATTTTATGTGTTAAAAATTTTCCCTCCCCTCCAAATTCCTCCACTTTTGGAGGGGAAGAGATTTTCCCTTGGAGGAGGGATTTGAAGGGAAAATATCAATCCTTCCTCCTACAAAAAATTGAACCAAACAAGGGAAAATTATAAAATTCCCTCCCCTCCCCTCCCCTCCCCTCAGTTTCCCTCGAACCATAGTGTTAAGGTTTGTTGTGCGTTTGCACTAGCTACACGAAGCTTGAATTTTTATTATGTGATCGACATAATTTGAATTTTTCATGGGGAGAAAATTACAAGTCAGGAAAAATGTCGTCTCGCGAGATGACCACATAAATCATCTCATGAGAAAATGCTTGTGTCATGAAGTTTAGCTGTTGAACTTGCTGCAGAGTGAAACCAATGCAAATTAAATTTGACCCAGCAAAAATAAATAAATAATTTAAAACGGAAGATTTAGGCTAATATCATGATCCTCTGTTCACATGAGGTACTCTTTAGCTGGGAATAATCATCATTGTCATGAATTAAAAGTAAAAACATTAGGTAACCACAAAGTTGAACAAATTGAGACATGAGTGGGACTTGGACAATGACATTTCTCCTTCTCAAATGATAAAAAGGGGGAAAAAGACTAGTCGACTTCATGCATCTTATCAATAATCATAATCACTAGAACTCATTTAATTCAATCATATTTCCACAACATAGTGTTACATCCTATATTACATTTGAATAGGACCAAATGTATTTTTTTTAGTGACTCAATATATATTATCTATATTAATCTCAATTCTACTAGGATCTGAGTCAAATCACGTCCAGAGAGTACGATCGTAGAAAAGTCCAAGACCACTGTTTTCGTTCAGAAAGTTATTGATAGACCATTGACTATCATCTTCTGAGCGTGAATATCGCGACATTTCCATGTAGATTACGGCCATATTGAGATTGGCGTTTTGGCATTGCATGTTGAGAATCTCGGCTTGTGCTTGCGCCAGTTGTAGCTGGAGCTCGTCCACTTGCTTTTGGAGTTGGCAAATTGCACCCGCACATCCGTACACGGGATCTCTTAGCCTTGCATTCGCCTCGTACACTAGGCTACTCACTGCATCGGCTCTCTGTGTCTCGGGAAGTTCCTAACATAATGTAGGAATTTAGACCAAAGTGACTAGTGAACTAGGTTTGATTCGTAATTGAAATTACAAATTTTCAATAGGATAATGAATTTTAATAACCTTCAAAAAAAACCGATGGTGTTAGTTACTTCATGATCGATTATTCGACTATAAAGAACAACTCCACAAAGAAGAAATAATATTTTCTTATAAATTGTGGTTGTAAATTGTAATACATAGCTACTATAATAATACTTTAGCTCCTACTTTAGCTATTTCCTTGATTACATTACACAAGCAAAGTGTCCACACTAATCATCAAAAGTCATATATTCCATTCTTTATCTTCATTTGCTATGTACTACAAAGTCACAAACTTTTGACTAAAAAAAGAGGTAAAGAATAATAATTGTTCTAGGTATGTAGTCAAATAATTAGTAGCATTATTCACATACATACCTGCAAGAACTTGATGATATTGCTGGCTCCAAAAACACGATGAGCCGTGGTGAATTTCATTGGATCGTTAGGCGGAAAATAAGGAGCCAACACGCATTTTTCGACACACCTTCGCCTTAAAATCCTACAAGCGGCACAAGGACTTGCAACCGAAGTTTGAGGAGGCGGAGAGGACGAGAGAGAAGGTGAAGGAGTCACGGTGGGTATAAAGGTCATTTCGCAGCTTCCCTCCATTTTCGAGCGATTAATTTTTCGAGTTAGATATATTTTGGAAACTTGGAAAAAAAAAACTTTAAATTTGGTTATGTGAAGAACTTGGTTCTTTCATGTGAGGTTATATATAGGCAAGGGAGTGGGTAATGAGTTGTTTTTCTTTGAAAAATTGTACTTGTGGTTTTACATATATGGTGGTTGTGTTCTTCTGTATGAACGTGTGTATAGAAAGACTATAGTAAGTGTATAGTTTGTCTCGTTTGATTTTGTGTTAAAAGTTGTGTGGAATTAGAGAATAAAGCGTGTTGTTACCACGGATTTTTGGCTTTTGGTGAAGAAAGTCTCCATATATAAGTGGACTATGTATTAAAAGATAAAAAATATAATACACATAACAGTCTAATTAGAGCAGTTAAAACGGACCAACAAGTGGATTTTGTAGGGACCCGTGTAATTTTACAAATAGGTCGAATTATTGTTATTTTTTTTTCTATAAATTCTTGTGTCATCTGAGGCAATATTGAGCTATACATTTGTAATAAAAATTATGTATATTGATATTATGAAATACATATGATTTTTTTTAATTGTATGATATATAAATTAATTAAATATATACATATTTATTGAAAAAATATATCTATCTATATATAAAAAGGTTGTTGGTTAAATCATTTTTTGAAACTTTTGACCAAATAAATAGTACCTTTGACATTCTATTTATAGAAAGCTTGAAAACAATAATAGTGTAGTTTTTTTTTACTCACAATTTGAATTCAAAATTAATGGTGTAGAGATAATATTGGAACAATAATCTGTGGATAACTCATGATGGAATCTGTGGATAACCAACTACTAATCTAAAAAGATTTTGATAAATCTTCACCAAACACTTATTTGATAAATTTGTGGATAACTAAACTATTAATCTAAAAAGATTTTGAAATGGCTAAGCTTATGTATTAATATCGCAACCCAAGGAAAAAAAAAAGCATAAGTGAGCTCATTTATTTTTTTATACTAAAATAAAGAGATATTACCAAATATATTTTTTGTTTAATTTGATGGATAATATCAAATCATTCCAAATTTTAATAATGTACGCGAATATCATTTCAAATATTTAGATAATATCATTCTAACGCTCCAATCATCTAATATCGAGATATTTTTTTCACCTATTAAATTAACACTTAATTTGCCTATAAATAACATACACACTTTGAGTTGTTATTGTATCCCCACTCATCAAAAAATCAAGCAAAACATAAAGAACAAATAGATATTCTGTATTGATAAGAAATCATGAGACTCATCAAGCAAAACACCATGAAAACTCTACGCAATCCAACTCTTTTAAAGGATAAATGTATCTTTTTCGAACAAAAAGATATTGAAAAATGATTTTTTTTTTTTATGAGTATGAAAGTCGAATTTTAGGTTGATTTGTTATAAAATCAAGGTAATATGTTTCTCAAAATTTAGCATATTTCTATAATAACTTGCCAAAAAATATTAATGATAATTTGACAAAATGGTATGTATTCCTCTTGAAATAAACATCTTTGAACAAATATTGATTAATAAAATTTAAAAATTAACCGACAACAACTCTAGAAAATTGTGAGATAATATGTATATAAGGGAATATATATATAAAGAAATTTATCGTATAGTTCAAATTTGGGTTTCAAATTTAAAAATCAAATAAATAATTATTCATAACAAACGTGTCAATATTAACTTAGGCATAAATGAAATAGTCAATTAATTATAGTTTAATAAATTACTCAACAACTTAAATTTTTTTATTTTGATAGTTTATACAAAATTAAATTCATTTTAATTAATGAACACTATAAGTTTTATAATTGTACTTATTATTCACATAGATTTTTAAACATATGATAAAATTTTACCAAAAGAATTATTTTATGGAATCACATTGTAGTCCAATCGAATTTTTGAATAAATATTTTAAAATGACACTTATTTTGAAATAAATATAATGTAATTTATTATCAGTTACGTGCACCAT